TCCCAAGACCCAAATGCACCACTCACTCTTTTTCCCTCATAAATTCTATGATTCACCTCATCTTTCATAACCCATCCGCTGACACCCCCTCCCAAATATCTAATAAACGTTCCCTCCCCATACTCTCCCCTCCAATCTGATATTAAAATCTTTCATCCCCTAATCTTTTTTTATCCTCATAACCTTTACCTTTCCTGTTTTCCCCTTTTAATTTTTTTCTTTTGCACACCCAACCAAATTCATCCACCAATCTCTGCAGCTTCCTTCAAAATCTCCCAAAAGCACAGTGCCCACAGCAAAGAGCACGTGAAAACCCCACTTTTGTTGATTCTTTATCTTTTAAACTCCACCCCCTTTTGCCAAGACCCCGCTTTTATTTTCCTTCACAACCCCATCTATAAAATAAAACAACCACGGTACATCACACATCCTTGTCTAAGGCCTTTTTTACGGGGAAAAAATTTTCCCTTTTTTCCTACATCTCTAATTTGACCCTCACTATCCTCTAAAAACTCTCACTGCTTTCAGTAACCACCCCCACACCATACCTTTGAACATCTCCCACATTGCCCCCCATCCACCCTGTCATACGCCTTTTCCAAATCCATAAATCCACAAAGACCCTTTAGCCTTATCTAAATACTTTCATTTATATTTTTTCACGTAAACCCCCTGTCCACACACCCCCAAAACCTTTCCTAAACCCCTCCTGTTCTCTGCATCCATTTCCGTTTTACTTTTAAAATTTTTTTAAATTTAAAAAATTTTCCTACCATACATTTTACCGGTACACTCAACGACTTATCCCCCTAAAAATTTTGCACTCTTTTTTACCCCTTTGCCTTTAAAAAAGGGAAACTTGCATGCTCTCTCCCAATCACTAGGTCCCTTTACCCTCCCCATACATTATTAAAAAATTGCCCCAAACCATCCAAAACTAAAATCCCCACCGCTTTTAACTTTTCTATCTTTACCCATAAACCCGCTCCCTTACCCCCTTTCTTTTTCCCTACTGCTTCCAATTTCCCCCCCACACTCACAACGGCCCTTTTCCCCTCACCCTACAAGATTTTATTCCCCTTCCCCTATACACAAATCACAGCTTCCCTATTTTCCCATCAACTTTTTAACAATTCCCTCAAAATATTCCCTCCACTTCCCAAACCTCTGACCTCCTTTTAATAACTCCCCCTTTTCCCTTTTTTTAAACTGACAAATCCTTTGTTCTCTAGGCTTTCTTAACTTGTTAATCCCTCCAAAAACTTTTTTCTTTTTTTTCAACAAATTTGTGATAACATCCCCCACTCTCTCATTTGCTCCTTTTTACATTGCTTCACCACTCTCTTAACCTCTCCTTTTTCTCCATATACTCTTTCCCCCCTTCACACTTCCCACTTTTTAAAAAAATTTTCATATGCTAACTTTTTCCCCTTTCTACTCCTTTACATCATCATTCCATCAATCGCTCCCTTCCCCCCTGCCCCCCTTCCGTAACCACAAACTTTTGCTGAACACTCTAACACACATTTTAAACCTACCCCATACCCCTTTTGACCCCCTTGCCTATCTTCTTAGCCCATCTATCCCCCCCAAAAGCGTTTATATCTTACCCAAAATGCCTCCTCTTTAGTTTTTTTTAAACCCCTTTACCTCTCTCTTCCCTGATCTTCTATTCTCCTTTTATCCCATCTACCTTTTTTCTCAGTGTAGCTACAACAAAAGTGATTGAATATCTTGGGCCCCCCCTTAAACATGTACATCCTGATCTACTCAACAGTCTTTTATCTACCAAAAAACATAATCCAACAAACACTGTCATTTCGCCCTACACAATCTGTATCTTATTTATCCTCTTTTTTTTAAAATTGTATTTCCTATCTAAACCCCTTTTTATACAAAGTTCAATCAAAGGGGTCCCATTATCATTTACACTGGCACCCCCAAACTTACCTACCACACCCTCTCCTAAAAGTTTCTCCTACTTTAGCATTCAGGTCCCCTTGGACTTCAATAAGACTTTCGATAGAGTTCCACATCAGAGGCTATTGAGGAAACTTAAGGCACACAGAATAGGAAAAATTTTTTTTCCCTAGGTACAGGTATGGCTGACAAATAGGCAGCAGAGAGTTGCATAAATGGGAGAAATCAAAAGGGGGGCCATGTCACAAGGGGTTGCTCCGCAGGGTCAGTGTTGGGCCCGATGTTTTTTCAAAATTTTTATTTTAATGACAAGATGAGGGAATAAATAACAATAAGCAAATTTGCTGATGACACCAAAATAGACCCCCAAATTTCATTCTAATGAGGAACTAGAGCACTCCAGGATATTTGAATAGACTGGTGCAATGGTCGGAGAAGTGGCTGATGCAGTTTTAATATAGACAAATGCAAAGTTTTAAACATTGGACAGGAAAATAACCATGCCAAACATAAAACTAAATAATGCAGATTTTAATACTACTGATTGCAAAAAAAAATTTAGCAGGTTTTGGTTAGCAATCTAAAACCAAGACAACAGTGCATTAGTGTTTGCAATTTAAGCTAACAAGTCCTTGGCTTCATATCTAGAAGTATAAATAATAGAAGCCCTCAGGATGTTCTTCAACTCTATATATCCGGGTTTAAAGGCCTCTTTTAGATTATGCTGCACAGTTCTGGTCACTGAAAATTAAAGAAGGATATAAAGCACTGGAAATATACAGAGGAGGATGACAAATAGATCCCATGTATCAAAATCTTCCCTAAGAGGATAGACTAAGGGCCCTGAATCTGCACTCTCTCGAAAGGCATAGAATTAGGGGGGATATGATCGAGGTGTATAAATGAAAACCAGGAATAAAGGGGATGAAAATAGCGTGCTGAAAATTTCCAGCCAAGACAGGACTCGCAGCAATGATTTCAAGTTGGAAAAAATTCAGATTCAGGAAGGATATAGGTAAACATTGGTTTGGTAATAGAGTTGTGGATGAGTGGAACAAACTCCAGAGTACAGTTATAGAAGCTAAAACATTGTGCAATTTTAAAAATAGGTTAGATAAATACATGAGTGGGTGTGGGTTGGACCTGACTAGCTTGTGCTACTAGGTCTGATGCTGTGCTCCTTCCTTAAGTGGAAGTGACCTGACTAGGCAGGTCATTGGGTTAATCCAGGGGGGAAGGGGGGAGATGGACCTGCTTTGCATGGGTCAGTAGGCCTGCTGCAGTGTTCCTTTTTTCTTATGTTCTTAATTTACTATAATATACTGTACTTACAAGATTGGTAACAGTCCATCGATGATTGGTGAATCTGAAGAAAGCATGCCTCCGTGATATGAGATGGTCAGGAATTATGTAGGTGGCCTCTGGTGACCGTCCAATTAACACCTGAAATACATAAAAATTACATTTATTAACCCTTAAACGGTCCAAATAGATCGACGTTCAAATCCGTAGTGCTCCAAAAGTAGATTTATGTTTTTTTATATATTTTCAAATACGTATAACAAAAAAAATGTAGATAAAAGTTTTTTTTACACATTTTCAAATGTAAAAAAAAAATGATGTACAGTTTTTTTACATACTGTCAAATGTTGAAAAAACGTATACATACGTTTGGACCGTTTAACCCTTTCAGGGTCCGTCCCGTAGATCTACAGCTTTACGTTCAGGGTCCAAACCGTAGATCTACGTCATGAGCTCAGCTCACTCTGATAAACTGTGAGTGGTACATTTGGGCCTAGATATGAGAGAATACATCTATGTGGTATGTGTGCACCACATAAAACAGATCCTGCAGCACACTGTGTATAATGAGAGAAAAAAAAATGAAATCATGATTTTTCGATTAAAACAGCAACTTTGCAGTGTTTTTTCGTATGTTTTTTATAGTTGTATTTGCGATTTCTTGGTCTCATTTGATAGAATGGAAGACATATTACAGAAATAGAGATGATTTGATTGGTTTTTAGCACTGGAAATGGCTTGAAACTGAGCTCAAAGTAGCAGAAATGTTAAATTTTTGCCGATATTCAAGAGTAAACAAACGACCTCACACATCTAATACACATCAGCTGGTGGGTCTAATATACATTCACAAATATGGTGATGATATTTATACAATTATTACAGTATTGCATAACAGTAAATCTTCTATTTTTTGGTGTGAATAAAAATTCATTATGTGAATAAAAAATCAAAATGGAATTTATTTGTAAAGCCTCAAAACATAACTAATGAACAGAGGAAATGTTAGTTTAGTGCCAGGAATGCCTACATTGTTCATTCTGGACCCTATTTTGAAATTGGAATATTTTGAACTTTGTGTTAAATTGGCCAAATTAAAAATTCCGATCACTTTATTTTGTAGTTGAAACAGTTGACTTGGCGATTTCTTGTGCTCAATCGATAGAATAGAAGTAATACTAGTGAAATAGCTAAGAATTTGGTTGATTGGAATAATGTAATTGGCCTAAAATGGGAGTCAAAGTCGGCAAAATCGCCGATTCGTAAGTATCGCTGACACATCAAAATTCGCGAGAGCATAATTTCGTCAATTTTCCACCAAATTTCGTACTTTTTGTTTTATTACCTTCACAAAAAGATTCTCCACGATTTCATAAGAAAAAATAACAAATTTTTTTTTTTTAAATTCTTGGACACTGGTGCGTGACTCCAGATTTGGGCCTTGGACCCTGAAAGGGTTAAGGGTTAAAAATATTAAAATTGAAAAACAAATACAGCCTTTTCTCACTTAGCAACGTACCTGTTTACCGACGACCTGGACTCACGACAGCTCTCTGACCAGTGTGCATACCTAAATAATATATATCAGACCTGATTTCCTCTATTCTGTTTATTACAATAAACAGTACACTACTGTATAAATATTTAAAAATATACTAAAAATGTTATAAATGGTGCAAAGGTGACATTAAAACAATATCAAAGATGGCTGACACAAACCCCCTACTATTATAGCATGCTCCTCACTTAGCGACGAATGTTTACCAACATGGTCTTAGGAACTGAACTCTGTCATTAAGTGAGGGGAGGCTGTAAGTGCGGTTCTCATAGCCAAGCCTGCGCCAGGTTGCTTTTGTTAACTTCCTGATCAGCCATTCTGTTGTTACTTGCTGCCAACAAGCATACATAAGCATCATAATCTAGTTGATTTGTAATAGCTTACAGAAGCCTAGAGAGTTCCCACTTGAGACTTCTACTACTGTTTCAGCAATACTTCTTGCAGTACTGTACAGTGGACCCTGTAAATTTTTGATTCTGAATTCGTGGGTCGAGTAATTCATGGATTTTTCCTTAGAACCTAACTAATGATTGTTTGTGGAAATCCCTGAAAATTCGCAGAATTTTTTGATTTTTTTTTCGTGGCAATATATAAATTTTTATGCGTTTTGACACTAAATATTAACCCTTAAACTGTCCAAACGTATATCTATGTTTTTTTACATGCTTTCTTATGGAGAAAATCAAGGTCGGAGTGCTACGCGCGAAAACGTAGATCTACGTTTGGACAGTTGAAGGGTTAAGAAAAATATAATTTAATAATTCTGTAACATAAATATTAACGTAAATTCAGCAGAATTTCTATATACGTAAAATATAATACTTTTACTAAATTAAATTACCATTTATTTACCATGTGTATAGCAAAGAAAAAGGGTTGCATGAATTACAGTACAGTGGACCCCTGCCTTAAGAACGCATCATGTTACGTTAAATCCTCCATACGAAGCATTTGAATGCAAAAATTTTGCCTCGCCTTACGTGATTCATCTGGGACACGTCCCACGTGTGGCCTCAGCGCCAGTGTTTACAAGCCAGCCAGTGCGGTCGCATCTACGCATACATTTCGGTACATTTCACATTATCCCAGTGTTTTTAGTGCTTGTAACTGCAAAATAAGTCACCATGGACCCCAAGAAAGCTTCTAGTGCCAACCCTGTGGTAAATAGGGTGAGAATTAGTATGGAATTGAAAAATGTGATTAAGGAAATGCGTGCAAAGTGGGTTGAACTGCAAAACCTTTACGGATGAAAATCACCCTGACACAGCTACTTAAAGCAGTGTTGGCAACCTGTACAATGACAATGTTATGGCCCATTTTAGGAAAGTCTTAAAGGAACGGGAGGTACAGAGCTCTATGGACATTTTTGTTGTGCGACAGAGGTCCAGTGACTCTCAAGCTGGTCCTAGTGGCATTAAAAGAAGAAGGGAAGTAACCCCGGAAAAGGCTACCTCAAGTCCTAACAGAAGGGGACTCCCTTCCTAAACAATAACTTCCACACTCTCCCCTCCTCCCACCCTATCGATCATCACCAGATCTTCAATAAAGTTAAGTGTCATGTATTCTATTCTTAGTAGAGTAGTAATTGTGCATGTCTTCTTCAGTTTTTGTGTATTAAAATTAATATTTTACGTGGTAAAAAAATCTTTTTTTTCATACTTTGGGGTGTCAGGAACGGATTAATTTGATTTCCATTATTTCTTATGGGGAAAATTAATTCGGCTAACAATAATTTTGGCTTACGATGAGCTCTCAGGAACGGATTAATATCATAAGGCGGGGGTCCACTGTATACCAAAGAAAACAGGCTTATGTGAATTACAGTACATATGGGGTAACATTAGAATTTTACATTCTAACACTGCAGGAGACATGGCAGTACAGTAATACTGTACAGTGGACCCCCGCATACCGTTGGCCTTACATAACGTTAAATCCGCATACCAATACATTTTATCGCTAAGATTTTGCCTCGCATACCTCTAAAAAACCCGCTCAACGCTGTTCGTCCGAGACGCGTCTAATGTGCGGCCTTAGCCAGTCTCACATGTTCCGCCGGTGGCATTGTTTACCAGCCAGCCTCCGCGGTAACATCCAAGCATACAATCGGAACATTTTGTATTATTACAGTGTTTTTGGTGATTTTATCTGCAAAGTAAGTGACCATGGGCCCCAAGAAAGCTTCTAGTGCCAACCCTACAGGAATAAGGGTGAGAATTACTATAGAGATGAAGAAAGAGATCATTGATCAGTATGAAAGTGGAGTGCGTGTCTCCGAGCTGGCCAGGTTGTATAATAAACCCCAATCAACCATCGCTACTATTGTGGGCAACAAAAAGGCAATCAAGGAAGCTGTTCTTACCAAAGGTACAACTGTGTTTTCGAAACAGAGATCGCAAGTGATGGAAGATGTTGAGAGACTCTTATTGGTGTGGATAAATGAAAAACAGATAGCAGGAGATAGCATCTCTCAAGTGATCATAAGTGAAAAGGCTAGGAAGTTGCATCAGGATTTAATTAAAAAAATGCCTGCAACTAGTGATGATGTGAGTGAATTTAAGGCCAGCAAAGGTTGGTTTGAGAGATTTAAGAAGTGTAGTGGCATACATAGTGTGATAAGGCATGGTGAGGCTGCCAGTTCGGACCACAAAGCAGCTGAAAAATATGTGCAGGAATTCAAGGAGTACATAGTGAAGGACTGAAACCTGAACAATGTTTAATTGTGATGAAAACAGGCCTGTTTTGGAAGAAAATGCCAAGCAGGACCTACATTACTCAGGAGGAAAAGGCACTCCCAGGACATAAGCCTATGAAAGACAGGCTTACTCTGTTGATGTGTTCCAATGCTAGTGGTGATTGCAAAGTGAAGCCTTTATTAGTGTATCACTCAGAAACTCCCAGAGTGTTCAGGCAAAAGAATATCCTCAAGGCTAATTTGTGTGTGCTGGAGGGCAAACAGTAAGGCATGGGTCACTAGGGACTTTTTCTATGACTGGTTACACCATGCATTTGCCCCCAATGTGAAAGATTACCTAACTGAAAAGAAATTAGACCTTAAGTGCCTCCTGGTGTTAGACAATGCCCCTGGTCATCCTACAGACGTGGCAGAGCGACTTTATGGGGACATGAGGTTCATTAAGGTGAAGTTTTTTGCCTCCTAATACCACTCCTCTCCTGCAGCCCATGGACCAGCAGGTTATTGCAAACTTCAAAAAAACTGTACACAAAAGCCTGTTTGAAAGGTGCTTTGTAGTGACCTCAGAAACTCAACTGACTCTAAGAGAGTTTTAGAGAGATCACTTTAATATCCTCAATTGTGTAAACCTTATAGGTAAGGCTTGGGAGGGAGTGACTAAGAGGACCTTGAACTCTGCTTGGAAGAAACTGTGGCCAGAATGTGTAGACCAAAGGGATTTTGAAGGTTTGAGGCTAACCCTAGGAATCCTATGCCAGTTGAGGAATCAATTGTGGCATTGGGGAAGTCCTTGGGGTTGGAGGTTAGTGGGGATGATGTGGAAGAGTTGGTGGAGGAGGACAATGAAGAACTAACCACTGATGAGCTGCTAGATCAACTTCAACAGCA